GGCCCAGAAGACGGCCTATATTGGTCAATGTTCCCTATGCACTTGAAAAGAATGTGTATTCTACTCTTGTTGGGTAGAGTGTTCTACTCAGTCTGATATTAATGGAGCAACTCAGGGTTTCAAGTGTGTTTCTCCTAAGCAGTGTATAGTTGGAGTTTTATTTTTTTATCCAATTTGACAATCTCTCACTTTTTATTACGATGTCTAGACCACTTATAACTACCATGAGTATTGATATGCTTAAGGTTACATCATCTTGCTTATTTGTTTCCATTTTATTTCCTTTCTTGGCATAGGTTGCTTTTGATTTCATTATATACATCTTTTAACATCACAGTTTACCTTCAAGTGATATTATACCACGTGCATATGCTATACAAACCTTACAAGAGTATAGTTCCATTTCCCACACTCTTGGCCTTTATGCTACTGTTGCCATACATTATATATATACACATACACACACATATATATGAGTTTTAAAAACCACAGTAGATTGGGGCCAGCCCCGTGACCGAGTGGTCAAGTTTGCGTGCTCTGCTGCAGGCGGTCCAGTGTTTCGTCGGTTCGAATCCTGGGCGTGGACATGGCACCGCTCATCTAGCCATGCTGAGGTGGCATCCCACATGCCACAACTAGAAGGACCCACAACTAAGAATATACAACTATGTACCGGGGGGCTTTGGGGAGAAAAAGGAAAAAAAATAAAATCTTAAAAAAAAAAAAAAACCACAGTAGATTGATACTATTTTTGTGTTAACAGTGAATTTTATTTTAAAGAGGCTTAAAACCCCACATATACTATATGTTTTAACTGTTTTCAGTGTTCACCATTCCTTTCCATCTGGTATCAAAGGTTCTCCCCACCTTTCCAATAACGCCTTTAAAGGTAGAGGAAAACAATTATAGCTCCAATAAAACAGAAGGAGGTTCTATGAATCCCAGTCACCTTTCTATTGTGTATCAAAGCTACATTTCTGTTGAATGGTCTTTTAGTACCATTTAACAAAGAAAACTCAGTAAGCTTATGGAGGAACTTCTCACATATCCATGGATTATTTTAGAAAGTAGTTCAAAGTCTGACCTCCCCCCAATAAAGCTGGTTAATGTCAGCAACTTAAAAATATTGCTGCTGTCAAATTACCTTAAAGAAAAGGAGGAAATATTATTTTTTCCCTAACTAAAACTCTCCCAAGTCAACTGAGTAAACACTGTTCTTAATTTACAAATTGGGAAGCTCTGAAGCAGACTAAAGAAAAACTTACTGTCTACTTTGGGATCATATTCAACGCTGGTTGATATTTGTTAGTCTCTTCTAATGTTTATCTTTGTTTTTGGCAAAGGAATACACTGAAATAAAATGGATAGTTTAGAAAATGTAATTACAGCACGTAATTTTTTTTTGAAGAAAGAAAAAATAGTGTTAACACAAAAAAGACTAATCTCCTCTGCTATAATCATTTTCTAAACTATCCCCAAATTTCTTATGATCAAGGCAAAACATTTTTTTGATATTAGATTCTTGACTTTTACTTTTACTGAGCTATACAGGAAGATTAGATTACTACCTGTAAATTCACTTTGCACATATAAATTAATCAATCCACTCAATTAAACCAGGTGAATTTGCTGATATTTGACTTTTTTTTACTTACTCAAAATGGCAATTTCTCACAGTTCAACCTAATAACAGAGTCCTTTCCGCCTCCACAGCGACTTCCCTAGGGAGCATTCTAGTATGATTCAATTTACGATACACCAAAATTCCTCAATTTTTTATCAGTCATTCAATTAATATATGTAGGAAGTGTGACTACAGTTGAGAATACACAATTTGGAGATTTTACTTACTCCACTTTAAAGTTAAGTGAGAAGTCTTCAGTGTTCCAGACAGGTTTCCCTTTCCCTCCCCGACCAGTCACCCCTTTACCACATATGCAGAACTCTGTTTACCAACTGGCAGTGTATTTATTATGATTACAGGGCTGGAAGGGGAGTGGGGATTCCGTGCTAAACATCCTGCTCTCCTGCTCTCTTCTCCCTGAGACAAAGTCTCTTTCCCATTTCCATTTACATCATTCTTTGTCTACTATTATTATAATTTCCGGAGTTTGTACAAGTCAGCTTCACTTGGTCTACAGATCCAAATTCAACCAAACACAAATGTTTGCAACATTTAGAATTTTACTCCAAATGGTTATATTTGAAAATACTTTTAGTAATATATTTATCAAGAAGGTTTAGTAAAACAAAAAACTTTCTGGCATCAGATATGGTATACCCATGTTGTAAGCGGTCACACCACCTTTTCAAATGGCTTCAGTAAAGGGAACTGGAGAGAAAGCAAGAGGGTAATGAGAAAGTTGTCTTAGTGAAGCTCTAACTTGTATAAAGGGCTCAACAGATGGGCAAGTAAAGACATTTCCTAAACTGGCTCCAGCATCGCTTTTGGCAATTGTATTTCAGGCTTTTATTCCTCTGATGCAGATGTTCATGCTTTGTGTATTTAATTGCTTCAGTCAGGTAACACACTGGCATGTCCAGGACTCTCAATCAAACAGCCTTTCTTTATTGAAGAAAACGTAACTTTAAAATCCAGGCTAATTCTGGGCCTCTACCCTCAATGTAAAGAAGCAATATAATAATTATTACAGGATTACCTATCTCTTAGGTATTTTTTTTTACCTATTCAATTATATCCACAGTAACATTTCACAAGATAAAAGAAAACATTAATTACATCTATCACTGGGATACAGATATTACAACGTGGTCAAAATCACAGAGAAGAGGCATTCCATTATTACATCGTGAAGCCTATCACTTGAAAATACGCACTTTTGAGATAAGAAACAAAGGTACAGAATGATGCTTCAACGTATATATTGTTTACAATTTTTCCAGGACTTTAGCATCACTTCATTAACCATAACAACACCTTTATAAAAGCAAGTATTATTATTGATATTTTATATTTATCAAGTTTTTAGAGAGGTGGTTTCGAACTGGAACCCAGGTCTTTTCCTTATTCCAATGCTAGTCCATCTGGAATTCAAAAGGTCTAACATGAAATGCATTATATTACATATTTTAATTAGAAACTGTAAAATCATCAGTGACCACTTTCTGTCAAATTGTCTCTAATTCTTTTCTATTCCAACTCTGCAACATTTCACACGTTTGTCCTGTCTTCTCTACTATATAGCCTTAATCAAAGCCCTCCCATCTTGCTTGAGGATCACTGAGCCTCCACTCCCCTCCCCTCCTCTGAACCTCCTATTATAACACTGTCAGAGTGATCTTTCTAAAACGCAATTCTGATGGTGTCATTCCAATGCTTGAAAACATTTGATGGCTTGCTACTGCCTACGGTGGTGGTTCTTAAACTGTACACCTGGGGATTTTTGTAGTTCTAAGAATTGAACAAAGGTGTTTGGAGCGGCTAAAATCAAGTAATGTCAATCAGCTTAATTCACCAGAAGAAAAACATTAAGGAATAGAGATAGTTGCATTTGTTTTTGCCCATATCTTTTTCTTACATATTTGGGACTTGCTACTGTTTGTGTACTGAACAGCCCTGTCAATATAACAAAACAAAACAAAAACCAATATAAATTCTGAAAAAGTCAACTATACTCAATCCAACATTAGTTAATTTCACCCTTGTTGAGAGGTAGGAGAAACTGTTCTCATGATTTTAATTTGAAATTATAACGTCATGTTTTTTCTAATTCATATGATAGAGTCAAAAATATGCTTAGACAACCTAGAATCTAACAACTCTTATGTACCCTGCTTCTGGAACCAGAAAACCATTCATATATTACCCCTCTGTGAAGGCTGTGGCAACTCATGTCATTGCTCTCATAGTTCAATGTATACCCTTCACTGATGCATCCATCTCATTTTATTTTAGTTTTTTATTAAATGTCTGTCTCCTGAATTCGATAGTGAATTCATCGAGGACAGAAGCAACATACTATTCACGTTTAAATCACAAGTGCCTGACACATAGAGTTAACTCAATAAACACATGCTGGAAGAATCACGCAGTTCAATTACATAAGAGAGCAAGACTGCCAACTATTTGTTACAATTATGGAGTCTCATAAGTTTAGAGCAAAGTCAATAAATTTTCTCTGTTTCCAATATAACATATAACACATTATAAACATAAAATAAAATAGCTTTAGAAATATTTTACTTCATGCTATATAATACAGCCAGGGAAGAAAATAAGTTTGATACAACAAAACTCCATTGAAAAGATGTCAATGGTGATTTTTAGGAAGTTTCTTAAAAATATACAGTGCTCAGAGACATCAAGTTAAATTAAGGATCTAGCCAATTCTACAAAATTGAATTATAATTGTAAAGAATTTTTAATTCTGTGACCATAAACTGGATAATAGATATTAAATTGTCTTTTCATGCCTCCCCTACAAAAAAGGCTGTTTCTAGCTCAATGTACATTTTTCTCCTTAAGTAAAAAAAGAACCCAGATCAATCTCTACAAATGTTGGGCCTTCAATATGAAAGTAAACAGACAAATAAAATCCCAATGGAGTTACAATCATTACTTCATTATTGCAAGTAAAATTCTATAAAAATAAATACCTGCTGATGTAGCTTTCATAGTGAAAAGTACTTAATTTTTTTCATGTCAAAAAGAGATACCAAGTCATATGAAAGTTTATTATATCCTAGTATCTTCACTTTTTTTTTAAGCTTTTGAGCCCACCAGATATTTCCCATTAACTTATATAACTCCAGGAGTATATCTCACAGCCAGGGAATATGAACAGCCAGAGGCAGACTTAATGTATGCTAAGGCTTATGGCTTACGTTTGTGTTAAATATCTTATTTGCCTCAGTCTGACTGTTTGTGGCTTATGGCCTATGGACCAGTGGTAATACGCATGGTTGCATTAAGAGTCAGCATTTTAAGATGAAATTTCAAAATACTGTCTGGAAGGAAAAAAACAATGAGAACTACTTACGGCCAGCAAGCAGGAACTGATAATACTGTACTGCATCTGCAGCGAGGAGCAGAGGGTGGTTTGCATTAAATGGTGGTTGCAATTCATTCCATTGAGGAGTTCTAAGGAATGGCAGAAGAATATTAATATTTAAGCTTAAAAGACAGGTTGTAAATCACCATCACTGTCACCACTTACAGACATTGATATAAACTCACACTATCTTTGTAATCATTAAAATGAACTTGTTGGGAGTGCTGAAACCTGAAACACAAGGCCATCTGCTTAAAAAGAATAAAAAGGTGGTAGTGAGTCATACAAATTACACAGAGCCAATATTAGTTTAATAGCAGAAGACCCTCCAATAAGATAGAGAAGACATTCAAAACATTGGACAGAGAGGAAATGTGTAATTCAAATATCAAAACTAAGCAGTTCTAATTTTACCTAATTTCTAACAATTGTTAGAGCTCTCTATTCTTAGAATATGTGTATATTTTAAAACAAAATGAAGCAGGTAAAAGTGGTTTAAAAAAATACAGTTATGTTAATGCTTGACTTATTATAGACCTAATTAGCATCTGAGTTCCAAAATGAGCCACTTATTTCAATAATGATGGTGCAGTAATTTTAATTATATTTGCCTGCTCCTAAACAGCTTGATAAATAAGATATTGATCAGATCAATCCAGTACAGTAAAGTAGTAGTAAAGACTACTGGAGCCTCCAAAAATCAATATAAGAATATTTTAAAACGTCAAAAGGAGAGAGATCGTTTTCATATCCATTTTTGTCTGTTTCCTTCCATACATGTCAGGACCAATTTTTCTGTCTCTGCTGTACCACTGCATACTACATTGAACAGGTTTTCTTCTAGATGCTATTTCCCCCTCTTCTAATGTATTTTATTTCCCCCTCTTCAATGATTACATGCTTTTGAGAAGAACTCTGAAGCTTAATAAACATTTCTACAGTGCTTAACCATTATATCTTGGGGAATTACATCAAAGGAGACCTTCCGATGCATTTATATCAGTGCCCATTCCCCTTAAAGGCTGTTTCAACGTCCTCTCTATTTTCAATGAGCATGAGGCTGGAAATAGGGGAAGCACTCAAGTTCTATATGTGAGATAGAAAAAAACCCAGGTCCTAGAAAAGGTAACACAAAGATGCAAGGAGAAAGTAGTTAAAGAAGAAGTATTCTCCAAGGCATGTACCAAAGATGATTGAAAACATATGACTACACAAAAATTTGTACATGAATATTCTTAGCAACATAACTCATGACAGCTGAAAAGTGGGAATGTCTACCAACTGATGAATGAATAAACAAAATGTGGTATATCCATGCAATGGAATATTATTTGGCCATAAAAAATGAAGTTCAGATATATACTACAACATGGATGGACCTTGAAAATATTATGTGAAGAAAAGGAAGTCAGATGCAAAAGGTCACATTTTGTATGAATCCATTTATATGAAATGTCCAGAACAGGCAAATCCATAGAGACAGAAAGTAAGCTGATGGTTGCCTAGGACTGAAGGGTTGGGGGAAAATGAGGAGTGACTGCTAAGGTGTACAGGTTTCTTTTGGGAGTAATTAAAATTGCTTGTGGTGACCAGTGCACAACCTAGGGAAAATTCACTTTCAAATGGATGAATTGTTATACGTAAATTATATCGCAATTAAAAAAGAAATGAAATATCAATATACCCAACAACAGGGATGAATCAAAATAATTTTGCTAGGTGAAAGAAGCAAGATAAAGAGTACACACTCTATGATTCCACTTACATAAAATTCTAGAAATCGCAAACTAATCTATAGTGACAGACAGCAGATCAGATGTCGCCCAAGGCTCGCTGGGCATATTACCAGGTAGGGAGAAAGAAGGGCAGGAGGGAGAGATTACAGAGATCCACAGGAAAACATTTGGTGGCGATGGATATATTTATAATGTTAATTATGGTGATGGCTTCAGAGCTGTATACATATGTCAAACCTTATTCAAATTGCACACTTTTAGTATTTTATAGCTCAGTAAAGCTGTTAAAAGAAAAGAAAGTAGGTATTACCTAACCAGAGTCCAGCTGGCTCGAGGTGATGTCACCATTTCCAGTGGGGTGTCATCGCTGATCTTGGGGGCAGTGCTAAGTGGTCGTGGCTCCATCATGTGCTCCACTAAGGTCCCATAACAGCTAATAATGTAGAGGGATTCAACTACAACTTGTTTGGACTGATCTACAAACAGAAAAACAGAACCTAGATGTGTGATAATGGCAAAAAAGGAGCCCAGCATAATTTTTACAAGTTATTGACCTTTCAATCTGTCCCGGAGGATGCTGAGAGAAAAGAAGAAGGTAGGAACTTTTTCACATGGTGCCTGCTCCTTGCCTAAAGGTTGCCTCTTATAAGTAGACGCTATTGCATATGAAATTCTTTATGCCATCAAAATATTTTTAAATCTTGAGCAATTTACTTCAAGAATGATGTGAATACACTCAAAATTCTAATACAGTGAAACAATATTTTACTAAGCCTTTTTTATTTGTCTGCAATGTAATTTGTCCCACACTATGAAAAAGGAATGATATCAGGTGGGACAGGGAAGGACTGACTGAAAAGGAACACTGTATGGACAAAGCTTTAGTTACCCTGGATGGACCAACTCAACTGCATAAGAGGCTCTTTGTATGCCTAAATCAGCCTAACTTCTCATTTATTTTGCCTCAGAAAACCTTCTCTTCTAAATTTCTAGATTAAAACAAACAAATGAAAAACACACACGTTTTCCTCCTGCAAATCCTCTTCCTTAATTTCTTTCAATGGGATCACTGGCCCCCATGGTAAATGAAGACCAGTAATACTTCCAAGTCAGGTGCTCAATATGGATCTAATCAAATGACTTTATAAGGAGTACACATGTCCTCACTACCAAAACAGGTTTAGTCCTCTATCTTGGGTTTTACAGTAAACTTAGGAGCATATAAAACCACTCATGAATGCTGGGTGGGTCACTTATCTCAATGCCAGAGGAATCAATTACAGCTGATTCGGGAAAATGGCTAATGACCAGGCAGTGGAACATAAAGGAGTAGCAAGTTAAAAGGGTAATTAGAACAGAAGGGAGAAGCATTTGAAATCGAGCTTCAGAGGGTTTTAACTAGTAACAAAAAGTCATTTCGATAGCATCATTAAAGCTAAGGAGGTAACAAAAAAATAAAGATGGGATAAGAAAATGGAAGGCTTGCGTACTTTACTGTATCCTCTCCCACTTAGGTAAGGAACCTGCTGTGCCTGAGATCCTATTTCCAAGGAAAGGGCCACTGAAAGGCGATAACAAGGGAAAAGGCTGATGTCTGACTGCCAGGATTAAGCGTAAAAGAGAGCCATTTTGCCAAGAACAATACGGCCTGTGGAACTAGTCAGAGAAGTGCCTCGTTAACAACTCAGTTTGTGACCTACTTTAATAGACTAAAATAATGAGAAAATCTTAATATTCAAAATTCAGTACTTTGTCCATGAGTATGGGCATTCTCTTCTACACAGAAACATTAAGGAATCCTATACTAAAATATAAACATTTTAGATCTTGATGCTGGTGATCAAAGAAGGGATTAAGCAAAAAATTATATAAATTCAAAGGAGCAATGGTTACCATAAAAGATGACCATTATTTCTGAGGAAGAGCTTGTTTTTATCTTTTAATTTATGACGTGGCAGAGCTGTTGTTGGTCTTGGTGTTTTTTGGGGCAAGATTTAGCATTAAAAAACTTAGGATCAAACTATGCTACCATCACCTACCAACTAGTGCTTTTAGCTAAGATATTATTCAGCTTACTGGTCTCATATTCTTCATCTCTAAAAATGGAGTGAAGTTAGCTTGCCAAAACTGTAAAAGCTACAAAAAATGGTATGGAATTGACAGTGTTAAGAATGCCTTAGACTGTTGCCAAGAAAACAAAATAAAAACCCTCAATGAGCAATTTTTTCACATTTCTAGTGAGAGAATAGCCTTTCTTCTAGACTAGGCTTGAGTAGTTGAGCAGAGACACGCTAATTAAATGGAAAAACTGGTTTCTAGAATATTGGCTTCAACATTATTCAAGGAGGATTGCTATGAATTTTCCTCAAGAAACAAAAACTACAAATGGCAACTTTAAGCTTCAGTAACAATACGTACCTTTTTCCCTTTTCAGACCTGCATTATTTGCAAACCATGATCTAGATGTCCCAAACATGGCAGCCACACAAAATTCTCCGCCCATTGATTTGCTGGGTGAAATTTGTGGAGGTGGTTTAACTTTGCTTAAAAAATAAAATGAGAGTTAAAAAATTACCATGATGAAATCACAGTCCTCGAGACAATGATGCATTTTCCTTAAATTCTACCGCTAAGTATGCAAACCCTCCAATGTGGACATGCATTTTGCCTTAAGTGCTAACTGGCGGTGTGAGACTGTTCTGCAGTGGAAGTGAAATTAGTTCAAAGTTTCAGAGTATTATCAAAACAGCAACTTCTAAGACCAATAAAAATTAACTCCTTTCTGAAGGATGTGCTGGTAAAGTCCAAGTCACTTCTTTTCAGGTAGATAACTTTTCCCTGGAGATTTCAAGTGGAACAATAGAACCAGCAAAAACATCTTACGATTACAAAATAGTTTCTCATTTCATTTTGATATATAAGATGTGGGATTGACAATACAGGTGAATGAAGACAGCATGTATGAAAACGGCAAGATGATACAGAATGAAACCCTGAAAATGCTCTTGGCCACAATGCTATGCAGAGTCAGACAACATAAGGGAAGAAGACCTAACACTCTAATGCAACTATATTCACTGATCTTCCTATCTGCTGTTGATTTTTTCTTCATAGATTTGTGAAAATGATGTGTCTATTTTCGTTCTGTTTCTCATTTGTTTGAGGACACGATAAGTAACTGCTGCTACTTCACATATAAAAAAGTACTAGCTTTCCTCTTTGTTTTCCCCAAATCAGCTTTCATATCATCAGCTTCTAATATCAACCTTTCATCTTCTTTCAAATCTTACATTTCTCTTCTCTTCCCATTTGTCAAAGACTTCCCCAAAGCTCATTAGCAATTCTGCCAACCACCTTAGATAAATGGTAGTGTTATTTTGTCTAATTCCTAGACCAGAAAATGGCCTCACTGTACATCAGTCAAGATCACAGCCCAGCTGGGGCACAAGAATAACAGACTTCTGATGCTTCTACTCTGCTAGTCACTCTCCAATGTCAAATAGCATTATTTCTACCCTCTGTTGCTCACTATCCATTATCTCTTTATCTTTTAATAAAGTGTGGTTGGATGGAGAAAGATTGGTTTTCGGAGTCAGGAAGAAACTAATCTGAATACCAATGCTGCCACTAATTAGCTGTGTCTCTTTTAGTTATTTAACCTCTCAGAACTCAGACTACTGCTATATAAAATAAAAATAGTAATGTCTACCTCACAGGGTTATTTTGAGGGTTATTATATTTGTTCTCAAAGTGTGGTCCCTGGTTAGTAGTACCACTTGGGAAGTTCTTAGACATGCAAATATTCGTCAGGCCACACCCCAGACCTACTGAAGCAGAAACTCTGGGGGTGGGGCCTAACAATCTGTTTTTTAACAAGCCCTCCAGGAGATTCAGGTGCATGCTCAGGTTTAACCACTGTATTAGTTAAAGTGCATAAAGCTCTCAGGGCAGTGTCTTCCCATATAGTACTCAACAATGTCAACTCTCTTCTACATAGCACACAGCCTTCACCTAATTTTCAAAAATCAGACTTCACTTTGGCAACTCAGTTTCCAGGTCCTTACAACCCTTGAAACAGTCTCTCACATATTCTACTTTCGTAGACTTCTGCTAAGACATGTTCGCGCTAGGGAGAGCAAAACGTCTCAATCAGAGGCCACTGTGATTGGTCCTTTTGGTCTCTCCTTTTGTACCAAATCCATGGTAATGCACAGTGCCATATACAAAAAGGCCTCTTTTTCCATCATTACCATTTCTTAAACATTTCGTATCAATACCCATAAAAATCACATCCATGCCTAAAATACCAAAACCAGTCACAGCTAGACTTCCACTGACAGGAAATAAAGACATAGTTTTTAAAAAAGTTTCTGTGAGGAAATGAATCTGGTTCTATGATCAGTTTCACGCCTCCCTTGCATTTGCCACAATTGCAATAACCTACGGACAGAAAAGACTCCCCTCCATCTAACCTGAACCAACACGCCCCTTCCAGGGCATCTGCGTCAGCGCTGACCTTTCTGGTTACGATGCTCTCTGTTGGACTACCTTAGAATGTAAATTTCCCTTCAAAGCCTTTCTTTCCATCACCAAACTACTATCATTGAGCTGTTAAGTTCCTGTAACCAGTAGCTTTTAAGTTCCCTTGGTCATTTTTAACCTTAGGAGTTTTGGGAGTTTGGAGGAAGGAGGAGAGAGAAAAACCATTCCAGAATTTTTTTGAAAGTTGTTCCCAATTGTGTGATAATGTGTTTTTTACTAGAATCATCTTCAGGGAACAATAATACCACAATCTACAAACAAGCTTCACAAGGACAAAAATCAAAGCTCTTTGCAAATTACTGAATGCTATTTTTGTTGTGTTTTTTTAAGTCATGTCGTAAGCAACAAGATAAAAAGTGAGCATGCCACTTTTTAAGGAGACTATGATACATCTAAAGTATGCATCCTAAAGAGACTTAAAAGTGGTTGCTGCTGGGCTGAATAGTTACATTTATAACATAATAATAAAAAGGAGAAACATGATAGGACATCGATTTAGTCTTTGGCCATGCAAAAATATTTCCTGAATGTTTATTAGCTTATAGTCTAATCAACCAATATCAAAAGCTAAAATCTCTTACATGTCTATAATGTTACACATACCTGAGCTTCTAAAAACACAACTAAAAAGCATCAACACAATACCATTTTACATAAACTCATTATTTCCTGCAGAGAATACTATCTTATGGTAAAAGTATCCTTAAAATTATGGAAGGAATAGTCATTTTTATTCTTATACTTCATTATTTCTTCTTTTCCCTCTGATAGGGCCTTAATAAATCACATTAGTAAAAGTTTGTGTTTAATAAGCAATCAAAAAAGTTTTCATCCCTGAAAATAACCTGCTACCTCCTACATGACATAGTGCTCTGGACTGGGTATGGAGCATATTTGATGAACAAATTCATAATGAGTTATTTCTATCATCAATACATTTGGAATGACTGTGGTATTTAAGTAAAATAGAACATAAAAATATGTGCGAGTGTGTATAAGACTTTCAAAAAAATAAAAAGAAATAATCTAAAGAAAAGACTACTATTAATAAAGAATTTTCTATGTGATATATTCAAAAGGAGAAAATTTAACTTTGACTCAATGTGTCCTTCATCCTAAGTTTTAAAAAGACCAAGACCAGGAATGCTGGGCGGAAGCAGAATCGAACTTCTCCACAATGACCCAAAATATCCCTATTGCAAAATAATCTCTTTTTTTGTTGGCGAAAAGATAAAATATTGAAACATGATACATATGTGAAAGGAATAAATGAAAAAAGAGCTAGTCTTGTAAATCAGGTTCACTTAAAGATGGGTGACCCCACCATTTTAGGAAAGCACTCTAATACTAGCCTTTCTTTCTTTCTTCCTCTCAACATTTCCCTGTGTCCTCTGAAAGGTCTTAATAAATCCCATTATGAAACATTTGCAAGTTAAAAAGAAAACCTCTGGGTGTTTGGAGGCCTTCTCTCATTTATTTATTAATTTACTAAATTAATAATATGACGTAAAAAATACAATATCAATGTACATGGGTGTCCAGACAAAATTGTGTTGATTATGGTTATAAATGAGAACAAAACATACTGACAGTGCTGACGGCCTCCTTTCTACTGAGAACTCCTGCTTTTTACTCCCTTGAGCCCATCATAATTGACCCCATGTGCAAAAATTAGAAAGAAAAATTTGGCTTGTGAGCAAAACATAAAGGAAAAATGGAATAAATTCAACTTTCACTATATCAGGTAAAACAATGATCATAAAACATCATATTTACTAAACTTGATACAAGAGAACATAATCAAAAGTAAAATAAACATATGAAGAAACAAAAAAACAAAACAAATAACGTGCGAAAGTAAAACTCAGGAGTTTAACATTTTGTCATTTCTTCTGGGAGACTTAATCATCTAACCATAGAATGAGAATCATTTTTACTGCCATCAGAAGTTCTGGGGACATTAAGATTATGACATCTTTAAAAATATTTACAAAGACTATTGAAGTTACCCATTGGCTTTTACAGTATTATGTAATCCAGTCAGATTAACATATTGAATTTCTCTTGCCTGTTTTTTTTCTCCACCCTCTATTGCAAAGAGAAAACAAAAAGCAAAATTCTAATGACATCTGCTTTAAAATTATAGGAAATTGATGTCCATCTGGATAATTTTCCTATGACCTATAGAATAGGACATAAGTGATGTCTGTGGATGGCATGAAAAGCAGCAGTGAGGTCCAGTGGCTTGTTCAGAAGGACACAAGCATGGAAAGAGCTAAACTGAAATAGAGGCACCATTTCTTCCCTTTTCTAAAACATAAGAGTGCAGTCAATATTTCAGTTTAAATGTTAGACACAATATTGATATAAGAATTGTAAGTGGTATAATGTCTTTGTGTTAAAGAAAAAAAAATTTTTATATTCCTTACCGTGATTAACCTTTTAAAAGGAATTTAGAAGTTTTCTCTCATTCTCAACTTTATTTTTCTAAAATAAGAACTAAGAAGGAAACTGAAAGTATTTTATTTTAAATAAAGATATTAATAATATATCTAAAATTATTCTATCATAAATTATTCTTAAAGATCTAATAGATTTACGTAAACTTTGCAGATGAGAAAAGATTCTCCTCTTCATAGGTCTTTCCTTCCAAAAATGAAATTATAAGTTTTTTAAAATTAAGAACAAGGTTAGTTTAAGTGAACTATTAATACATAGATTGAATACTCTCAGAAAGTGCTAATTAAAACTTTAAACATAATTTGACATGTAAGTTTTAATTCTTCTTTAAAATTAACTTTATATAATACAAAGAGAGTTTATGAGTAAGGCATATATTCGAATGGACTACCTTTTGTCCACACTGTTGTGTATATACTTTGTCTTTTGATAAACAATTCAAAAATACCAGTAGCTTAAACACAATACTATATGCACATTAGGAGCTCAATAAATACAAATACTTGTCAATAAATATTGAAAGCAAAATTCATTTAAAAAAATTTACAATGCTTATTTCACTTAAAATTTCTGTAGTAAAAATACATCGTACGCGTGATTCTTTTACATTATTTATACAGTCATTAGAACTCAAATATCCAGGAGGATATACAATCACTGGAATGCATAACATGGCTAAAATGTCGAAGATGGTCCACGTCCACATAGTTAACTTTCCAACAAGCTCATTTTGTTATCAAAGAGAAGGACATCATTTTAAACTAACTCAACTGAAACTGCATGAATTTAAACAATTAAACCAGTTTGTCAAAGAAAGAAGAGTTAGTAGAAACTGTGATCTATTAAAAGCAAAATCTTAGCTAAATATAAATGGTGCAACTTGAAAGTAATAAGAAACTTTGCATGAAATTTACATATTTTAAGAACTGTAAAAATTTCATATTCTTCCAAAATACAAATATTACTCTACAATTGGAAGTACTATAAACATGTTTATTTAGCATAATGTTTTATTTCAGAACAGTAAATAAAAACATTCTCAGGGTGAATGCTAAATATCATGGAAAAATAGCAAAAACTGTTAAAACAAAGAAGCTCTTACAAACAACATGGAAGAAGTTGTCAAATTTATATTCATTTTGCTGCCTTAATTTGAGGTTTCATTAAGATCTTAATGGGAAAAACATGCACCACTAGTAAAGGAACGTATTTTAAAGAGGATCTTTTAGGCTAGTATAAGTGACTAAAAACGAGTTTCTTGTGAGCTAACGATGGCATCAAACAAACCACAAAGCAGTCTTCTAAAAGACAGGCAATGATTTAAATGTCTACTATATTTCATATATCCCTTTCTTTAATCTGGCTCTTTTAATCTTGTTTCAACCTCAAATCATTTCTGGTTGACAAGTGCTTTTGCTTAAATTTGAGGAGCACATAAGCTGTCGAAGGAATGGACTTTTCTTATTTAACATAGAACATTTGTTACTCCCTCTTTACATCTATGCTAAAACTTCAATCTTTATTAACGTACTAAAACTCTTTTCTTTGTACTTGGATTGAGAAATTTACCCTATGATGGAATTTAATTCTAAGTTTAGGCTACAAAGAAAGGTTGTCGTATGTTGAATCTGGTATTTAAAAACTGACTGCTCACTAGAAGCTCTTAAGGAAGATCCATGTATCTTATTTGTTTTTGTGGAAGAAACCTGGTTAACAAAGAGATACAGATTGACTTTCACGGAACCCGGACTCATTTATACCCTGAACTTGTCTAGAATGGTTTCACAATCTGTGTCCTAATTCTGATGCTGTGTTTCACAGAGGAAGTTTTTATAATGATTTGTCACCCTATTCTTACATGATAATGAAATTTTCAGATGGTCCTGTGGCATGTGAACGCTGAAATTAGTTTGTGTCAAGTTATACTATACCTTTAAAGAACTACTTAAGCTTCTTTTTATCCAAGAGAAAAAAAGATGGGGAGGTTTTTTCCTAGTGTAATGGGATCCTATGAACAATTCCCAGTAGCAGTAATGAGAATTACACATATATGTGCAGAACTCTGTTAAGTATTCTGACTAAATTTATAAAATTGATATCACTTACATTCTCCAAAACTTCCTTTTGGCTCACTTACCCTTAGCAGCAAAAAACATGATTTGATTTAAAGAAGCTTCTTTTCAAAAATAGTATTTTCCCCTTGAACAAGAAAAGAAATAGTAGCAGTAGCAGCAAACATTTATTGAGCTCTGAATATGTGCCAGGCACTGTTCTAAGCAATTTATGTTGTCAGTTTATTTAATTCTCACAATGAACCTATGAGGTAGGTGCTACTGGTAACTCCATTTAATAGATAAGGAAATCAAGGAACAGAAAGGTTTTAGAAAATTATCCAAGATCATATAGGTGGTAAGTGTGTGAGCTGGGATTTAAGACCTAGGCAGCCTGATTCTGGAGCCCTGACTCTTACCCATTATGCTAAACATATTATACCAGGTTCTAAACACATTCTACTACACATCTTTACATAGAAGTATTAAATATATTCTGTTTCTTTTCTATGATCATAATGTCTAAGACTGACAAAGTTGTATTTTACGCTTTGTTATATAAGAATTTACTAAACAAGTAAGTTAATGTGAGTAGGTGCTAATAACTCAAAATGATAAATTATTTAGGAGTTTTTGTGTGAAGGAGAAATTTCCTCATCATGTAGCTCCTTAAATACCTAAATGATTCAAAACAGAACCGACTCTTGTTCCTTTGGTACCAAATAAAATGCAGTAAAAATTTATAGAGTATTTTTAGTATACCTTAAATATATTTATATTTCAAAATAAATCACGTCTTCATATGTTCAGCTTGACATGTAGTGAACTTCTATCACTATAACACGCAAAGCTTTAAACTTGAGTGTTAGCCTTGTCTTTTAATATACACTAGCATTAGAAGAGAATTCTTCTAATTTCTTTTTTAATATTAATCTCTGATTTTTTTATTTGACTTTTCAAGAAATGAAGTGAAACCAAGAAAACTGCTCTTTTAAAGCTTAAATATCAACATTCATGTCCCATTTACAAATAATTCAGTAATTCGGTGCATCTATCTGTGATCAGGCCATGCAAGTGAAAACAAAAGTACAAAACAGAGTTACTTTCTGAGAGTACAGCAAATGAAGTAGGCATGCGGGACTGAACTGGGACTCACCATGGAGCTTTTATGGAAAAACACCCCGCTCCAAACAGATAAGGCCTTCATGGAAAAGGGGGGAAAATGCACAAAAAATTAGAGGAAAACTCATTTAACATTAACAAATACATGTATATCATACTGTGATAGAGTATGGATAAAATAACTGAAAAAATTAGTAATCATTTGCAGCTCTGCTGTGGATACTAACGAGTCTGACAGAACCAATAAACCGAATGATCCGTGGTAACAAGTCCCTTAGTTTTCACAGGGTTAGATATTTCAAAATGTTCTCTTTCTCCCCCTTTTCTGGAGCACCCCTGTAGGGTTCCTAAGGAAAAATAAAATAAAGTTCACTTCTGAGGCCCTTTAAAACAAAGTACAAGTTAAATGGAATAATCGGATGGAGAAAACAGTAGGATCAGTAGCCACAGGTGTGTGGTTGCATGATAGAAAATGTTTAAAACTAACTGAAGATAACTCAATAAAAAACTCTGACAAGCACTGTTTGCTGTTCACCAGTTGCAGTCTCAGAACCACAGAAAGAAAGCTTCTATTTTCTAAGCTGCTTATTTACAGTAAGTTGAACTGCATATTGCTGTCCAAAGGAACAAACACTAGATACAAGTAGTATGATTTATTTCCATGTAGCGTCACATTTCAGGAAATTAGCATTTCTCTTAATGGTGACCTAAGAGGTTAGTTTCCTCTACCTGGCCTGCATTGGGCTAGGCAAGAATACAGTAAACTAAAGCCACAATTGCTTGTTTTCAATACAGCTGGGGATGCAAAGTCAGACTTCAATGTAACACACATTTCTTCTTAATATTCTCTTCACAGCATTTAAGGCATGCTATGAATATTTGCACACAAAGAAGACTGACTGATTTAATTATATCCAAAACCAAATGTTGCCGTAGCATCTGACATTTGGAGGGAAGACATAACAAACAAATCGAGAAGGAAAGCACACTGGCAAAACTTGGGTATTTTTCTTCTTCAACTTTAGTGCTAGGAACATAAAAAATCCTGCTAATTAGCATTAATCTCCCAGTGAATTGAGCGTATTTGACCACAAACTGAAACTTGAGGAAAATGTTTTCACAGCACTGAGTACAATTCTGAGGACTAAAGCACAGAAGATACAAAGAAGGGAACAGAAAAAAGATACTAATTAGAAGAATGAGTGAGATGGAAGAACTGAGATATTGAAAAAAACAAAAGAAAAAGAAACTTTAGGGAGGGTGTCAACACAAAGCAAAGAAATCTCTCACAGTTAATGGCAAGACCACAATCAGAGATATGATGTCATCATCCATATTTAAAACAGTGGATTTCAAACTTTGTTTGACTGTGATCCACAGAAATACATTTTAAGGTGCAAGCTGGTATGTACGTGAACACACAACTTGAAATAACACAAACTGAAACAACCATTTAAGGAATGTGTGTTTTATTTGTAAACAACTTCATTTTCTATTTCAACGTTTTGCAGACATTAATGTTGGGATTTAGTTACATGAAAATTAATGCATATTCTAACAGTAGGTCTGACTGGGGCCTGAGGTTTGATATTTCTAACAAGCTCCTAGGTAATGTCAAAGCTGCCTATTCGCAGAACCAGTAGCAAAACTGCATGTTATTCTACTCTATTTCATTAATGAAAAAAAAAGCTAGTCACCATCTCCTTATCTGATTTCATGATTCACTAATTACATCGGAAACAAAATGTTACTGGAGCTCACCCTGCACTTGGACAAACACCACTTTAAATAACTGAGACCACTTAAAGACTCCAATCTCCCAATACCATCGTAATGCCCTGAAGAAATGATCAGAAAATGGAAGGTTCAATACGTTTCCACATGCCCACAAATACTTCCAAAATGAAGATCACACAGTAATCACGGCCCTTTAATTTTCTTCATTCGGCAGGACACCTGAAATAATGCAACAGCTCGAATGATTCTAACAGAAGTGCTTGGGATCTGGAACATCTAGCCATGAGTTACTCTTTAGCGTATATTGTGTCAACTCTGGACAGTCTCCTATCTCATTCCAAATATCAGAATACAGCTGATTCGTTGTAAATAATTTGAAAGTTTTATCTTAGTCCTTTATGACTTAAACGGCTTCTCTATTAACCCCAAACATCAACCAAACAAAAATGAAACGAAACCTGAAAGTTTCTACATTTCAAAAGACCAGCTAATGTTCCCCACCTATAGAGCCAGCAAATACCTTTTTCCAGTTTAGGTTTCCTTATGGACAAAAAGAAAACATACATTAGCCAAACGAATTAAACACAAGCTTAAAAAACAAATCTCCTAGCTTTTCCTTTCCAGGCAACAGCAGCGTGTTACCAACAAGAAGATTTCTACGGCCATTTCCTTCCACGCAATCCCAAAATGCACTGTTAATTCTCCAGACACTGTAGTAAACAGGCCTGTACTAAATATAAATAGCAGCTCTGTCACGTTTAAAGACAATACGGTTCTCACTGTTCACAACATAAGCCAGTTGTGTGAGTTAAAAGTTATCGTTCTACAATCAAATAAGGATCTACTGGCTCACACAGCTCAAGGAGAAAAGAGAGGCTGGGGAAACAGGAGGAGGACCCGCTTTAGTATGTGTACTTGGCATGTTTCCAGTCTAGACACCCACTGCTTACCCACTCCTACAAACTGGACCTCTGCCACATACATGTAAAAGAAGAGCCACGAACTCCAAAGAATTAGAGTGACTGACGTAATCACTAACTTTGTATGGGTAGTGTCAGCTGTTCTTTTGAAATGTGCCTGCTTCATCTTTCCTCAGTAGCAAAAGAATGAAAATATAAAGTCACAAAGGACAAGTCCATGATCCAGCTGTCTTCACCTATGACTTTCCTCTCCTCCTCCAAAATCCCACAGTTGCAGTTTTATATGGGGGTGGATGGAAGGAGGAAAAGAGCATGTGAGTGGGAGTGTACGTTGAGTTAAAATTGTCTTCACTAACATATGCAACTCAAATGATCATATTCAGATATCAAGAATTTGTATGTTTTTCAAACACTATTAAGTTTCAGCAGGTTTAACAATCCTGTCATATAAAACCTATTCACTTTGTCATGATTATATACTTTTAAAGCTGAATTCTGAATGAAAAACATCAGGGTTGGCCAAGAGATTAAAAATCCAGAAATATTATTATAGACTTATTTATAGTCCAGCGTGAAATGACTTGGCCTTTGGTTCTCAAAGAGTTTCTTCTGGAGATTCTCAGAAGACAGGAAGGAATTAAGTTTTATATCATATCATTAATGCTATGTAAGTCTTTAAACTCTGGTTCATTTTGTTGAACGCTACACAGCAACACAAAAGCTTTGGTCTTACTAGCTAAAAGCAAGGCAAATGTGAAGATTTTTTAAACGTAAGGAAAAAGGGATTTGATTTGCTGAAATTCTCTATAAGTTGATTCTTAGTGCTAAAAGGTATTAATAATGATTAGGTTCAATCATCATCACAGGTAAAGAAATAGTTGGAGTCTAAGAGAAAAAGTCTATAAACATACTCTGAAAGTCCTATTTTTCAACTGATCATGTCCTATGAGAATTCAGGCATTACCATTTAACAGACATCAGAATGAGCTCATATAAATATTAAATGTACTAAATAGGGAAAAAGTAGAGAATAGGCTATATACAACATTACGAGGAAAATCGTAAAGTAAAGCCTAATTCTCTAACAATATATTCTAGGAACTCTAATGGCTCTGATACATTTGGTGCACCCCCTGGTCAATCAGGAACTGAAATGGACTCACATTTCCCACAAACATATGAGCAAATTACTCTTCATATTTTCAAGCGTTACTTTTAATTTTTCATTAATATAATTTTAATGGTTCCCTACTAAAGAAAACAGCACTGCTGGCTTTCAAATTATTGATCTGTAGAGCAAATTAAAGCTGAGATTGACAGGTAAACTGTCTAATTTGAGATCTGTTCAACAAGCAAATTTAAACTACAAACTCAAGATCTTCATTAGAAAAACATTAGACATTGTTCAAATTCTGCCAGATGTGGCATAAGAGAGACTAGAATAGCATAATAATCGTCATATTCTGTAGAAAGCTATGCCTCCTGACCTGAAATATAGTATATAGAAGACTTCATCCAAAAAACAACTCCACAGATTTATGGCAAAATGGAATAAACAACAGTGCGGTTTAACTACACTGATTTAGCACCAGAATTGGAAACTCAAACTATGGTAAGTATAATGGACATGTAGACATATTTACATCCTTTCTAATGAAAGTACACTGTCCATTATTTTATATCTGGAGCCAAACATTTATAACTTAGCTATGAAGAACTAATACCTAGACAAGACAGGGCTGGGAGGTGGAGCACTACCGTCTGCTATTGTATCTGCTGAGTCCTTCTCCAAATCTTTTCATTTAATTCTCAGTTTCTTCAAGGCCTACTATATGCCAATGTCATCTACTCACTTAGCGAAGTTTGATGGCAGATTTGGTCTTCAAACTTCAATTAGAGATAATCAAATAAATGCCATTAAATGCTTCCATTTCTAACTAAGAATGATCACCTACGTTTTCTAAATGGAGGTCTTAGCACTGGCCTAGGGCTCAACAGCGAGTGAGACTCGGAATTAGGTAATGAGATCAAGGACTCAGTGGGAACTCATACACGTAAGGCTGAAGGATTATAATCCACACATATAAACTTTTACTTTTCACATGAAGAAACTTACCTAGACCACACTAGTAATAGCTGGCAGAAACAAGATGAGAAGACGGGGCTTCAGACTCCTAAGTCAAGATTCTTCCACTACATTACCTAACCTTCTCCTACAGGGTCGGGCCAAAGGTTCGAAAATCTACCTCCAATTGCTCACAAAGAAAGGAATAAATGTAAAGATGGCGGGAGAGGAGAAGAGCAGTAAGCTGCTCCATTTAAGGAAAAAGAAACCTATGAAAGACAACAAATCACCTCACGTTTACTGCACAACAAATGGTCTGCTAGTTAAGAGCAAGGAAGTAACTTGATTCCCATTTTCTACATTTTTTTATTCCCAAGAAATTATTCTGACCTCTTTTTGAAGAGGTCTTTTTATTGTTCCCTGCTTGTACTCAAAAAATAATGTGTATATATTAATAATCTTAGATTTAATGCACATAAAATTAAGCACATTGATGAAAAAGTATCTACTTAGTAAATTTTTGCATAGGAAGCATTAAAAAAACTTTATTACTTACTTGATTCATTAATTCGACCAAACATCTATGAAATGTTGTGTAATAAATCCCTACAATAAAAACTTAACACTCCAAAACAAGGAGCAATCCCTTAGCACTCAGTTTCACTTTTAACAGATGAGAACTATCCTTCTTTAAATATGATAAAAACATGATAGAAGTCTTTCCAATCCTCCAGTCTTAGACTGGAAGAAAACAAATTCTGTCTGAATGAGCGAATGTTGAACCAAATGATTTCTAGTACTTCTTTGCCTTCATCAGTATATACTGTAGTAGGGTTAAGCAACAGCTGTTGCCAAAATAGGCCTTATTTCCTCCCAGTGCTGCTTCAAGGCACAGAACATGAAGGTGTAAATACATCTGTCTTTTGCCATTTGCAGTTCTACTGGCCTTGTGCATGTCTTGGAGTAAGACAGATGGTCCCTGGCACTGCACAGGCTTTCAGGGATATATATTTCCAAAAATAAGAAGGCAGATGTGAAATATGGTGAGCACACGTTTTACACCCTGAAGGTCTGACTTGAGGCTTCCATCTCAATTTGGTTATTTAAATATAGGATCCTAGGCAATCCTTAGAAATCTCTGTGCTAGAAATACAAGTCTTCATGCTTATTTTACATCTTTAAGACAAACATCTAGGACATGGAACAAATAAATGTTGATCTAACCTAAGTAAGTATATAATTTTACTACATATCAGGTATATTGGAAGTAATCATAGACCTTACATGTCCATAAATGAGCCAGCTCTGTGAAATCTTTCCACATAATCGATGTCAAATATTTCTTGTTAATTTTATTTTTAAAATGCTAGGAAAGGCATTTCATAGAAGCAAAGTTACAGTCAATTAGAACCTCCAGAATGAAGAGAGACCTGGAAAATGAAAAGCCCATTTGCTCATCACTCTGGTGACCCTGATGTGACAATCAAAGTTTCTTAGTAAATATAATAAAATCTAATGGAAATAAGGCAAATTAGCTAACTGCATTCTTGAGAACTGGTCACAGCAAAAATTTTAAAAATAAAAATGAAATAAATATATCCTTTAAAATCTAATGGGACGAAATCTAATGATATGAAACGTCTGGAATTTGCTTCAATCTCAGCACATGTCAAAAATGGAAATTCAGGGGCTGGGCCAGTGGCGCAGTGGTTAAGTACACATGTTCTGCTTTGGCAGCCTAGGGTTCACTGGTTCGGATCCCGCGTGCGAACCTAAGCACCGCTTGTCAGCCCATGCTGCGACAGGCGTCCCGCATATAAAGTCGAGGAAGATGGGTACGGATGTTAGCTCAGGGCCAGTCTTCCTCAGCAAAAAGAGGAGGATTAGCAGCAGATGTTAGCTCAGGGCTAATCTTCCTCAAAAAAAAAAAAAAAAAAAAAGGAAATTCAGGGAATATATTTTGTTCTCGCAAAACAAATATTACTTTTGGTAAGGCAAAATACATGTATTTCAATGAAAATGCTAAATTTTAAGATAATAAAACCACAATTTATATTCTGAAAAATTCTATGACCATATGCTTGGGTGACTTATAGTAAAATAATTATAAGGAAAGTCACAATAGCAATTTCTGAACATAATTAACAAACTCTCCAGAAAGTGGCCTAGGGGTCTTAAGTCTTGGAATCTAGCAATAGCCAAGTATAAGCTATGAATACTATCATCAAAGTGTTTATAGATGCCTGTAATCCGTGTTAATAGGAAGGGAAAGAAAGAACGGTAGGAGGGAAAGAAAAAAAATAGGTAGGGAGGGTAAAAAATAGTAGGTGGGGTAATTTGTGGTACATTAAAGCTCTGCTACAAGTAGAGAATTCCTTACGGATAATTATATTCAAAAAACTAATAAAATGACTAAAAAATCTCTTCTTTTTATAATTGTACTATGCTTATCTATGAGAATATCCTTGTCTTTAGAAATTACATATTGAAATTATGTAGGAATAAGGGGCTACTAAGCCTACAAATTACTCTGAAACAATTTAGGAAAAATCTGGTGTGTGCGTGTGTGTGGGGGCGGGTTCGTGTGCACATGCACTTGAACGCTAAGGCAGATATGTCAAACTGCTAACCTTGGGGAGTCTGGGTGTGTGAGAATCCCTTTCAGTGGTCTGTAACTTTTGTCTAAGTCTGAGTCTACATCAAAATTAAAAAAATGAAAAACCAAGTACTCATTGTGGGACAAATATTAATTATTCTCTCTAAACATTTCAATAAAGGACATGCTAAAAAAAAATTTTGAAACTTGGCAAAAACAAAATGGTTTGAGAATTGAGATAAAAAGTCTAGTTAACAAACGATGTATGTATCTTGAACTAATAATACCTTCAAAGTATATAATTCAAATTCACATCATTTAATCCACTAATAATTATTAAATTGTCTACAATATAAGGGAGAATAATATAATGCTCTAAAATTTTAGGATTTTGTGACCAAGTTTTTAAAAAGAAAAGGAAACAAGGAATTTATCTAAGTTCATAAAGTAGGGTAGCACAGGAATACACTAGACGATTAATAGTTTCAACCCATCTAAGGGCAAAGAGAAAGAGAGTAGCAAGAGAGTGAAAGAGAATGAGGGAGAGATTTTATCTTTTTATTATGGAAAATTTTAATATATGCAAAAGTGGACTCACTTTCCACCCCTCCCCACAAATATTGTGAATTAAATTCTAACATCATACGATTTCATGCATACAATTTCTGTCACTATCTTAGAGATGTATTTGGAGAAGCTCATTCAAAAAAAGACAGCTAATTCTTTGCATCACAAAAACAGCATAGCTCTGAAATCTTAAAAATAACAACAATAAACACCAGAAACAAAACTAAAATTAAATGCAAGAAGAATAATTTTGAGTATTCTTTCACTAGATTCAGGAAAGACAAACAAAAATTCAGAAGTACTTTGTAGAATTGTACAGTGCTGGGTCAAATCAAGAAGGTACAATTAAGCACTGACACTTCTGCGAATGAAAAACTAACTCGAAAATTATGGTTCAAGATTTAGTACCATTTTTATTTGATTCTACATCTCCCAGAAATATAACATCACACGAACAAAAAAAATGAGCTAATAGTAAATAAAGTTCATAAGTCGTTTACTCTTGCTAGCGACTCTTATTTATCTTAAAGAAACTAATAAAGAGAACTCAGAATTCCATTGAAATTATACTATTACTGAACATAAAGAGTTAAATAGCTGAAATCGATTAAAAGAAATACAGGCCAAAGGATCTGTATCGTAAAACATCTGATTAGGGACCTAGATTTGCTGTAATTTTTCCTCCTTTTTTTCCTTAATATGCTAGAAACTCAATTTTATTTTTGCATTCAGCAACAGGATCACTTTATATAGAAATACCACTCCACTGGGTAGAGGGTCAATTTCTGTGTGTTGGTGGAATCTGGAGTTCAAAGGCCTCCTCCCTGAGAATGAGTATTTCTTTTCTTTCTTTTTTTTTTTTTTTGAGGAAGATTAGCCCTGAGCTAACTGTTGCCAATCCTCCTCTCTTTGCTGAGGAAGACTGGCTCTCAGCTAACATCCGTGCCCATCTTCCTCTACTTTATCTTAAGTGGGACGCCTACCACAGCATGACTTGCCAAGCGGTGCCATGTCCGCACCAGGGATCCGAAGCTGCGAACCCCAGCCTGCCGAAGCAGAACGTGCACACTTAACCACTGTGCCACCGAGCCAGCCCCAAGAATGAGTATTTCTTCTCACAAATGTGACTTCTGTAAACACATCACCACCTAGCACAACAACATTAAGGAACATTGATATACCAGCCAAATAATTTAATCTATTCGTTTTGTTGGGAAAAATCCTTAAGAATATTGGAAGCCAACATGGGGTTTTCACCTGACTACCTGAATAAAGAATTTTAAGACAGTTGTTCTATTTCAAATTAGGTTAAACTTCAGGATTGCTTATTGATAAAAATAGGTAATTTGCTTATAGACATATATATTTTATGGTACAAAATGGGATTTCAGAGTTATTATGCAATTGAATATCTAATGATACCTTAGACATAAGCAGTTTATTTTTAAGAACCCAAAGAAGTAATAATTTTATATTCCTAACAGGTAGGAAGCTAAAAAAATTTTAAATAGCTAAAATAAGCACAAAGATATCAAGTGAGCCAGCAAAAGTCTTTGAGGATGTTAATGACCAATAGAGTAAAGCCCAAATCTTAGGACTCTGGCTTTTGAAAATTACCCAGAATATCACATTGTCCTGACACTAATGACAGATTACTGTATGTGAATTATACCTCAATATAGATGACTTTTTAAAAGTATTAGAAACATGATTGTCATCTAAAGTTCTCTCCTTAGTATTTATGTCAGTCAAAATTTGTGAATCGTTATAAATCCAAATTGTATCCAAAAAGAGCAAGAAAATGAAACTGTACTTTCAGACAAAGCCACAAGGCAGTAAGTATAAGACTGAATAGATGGATCTGGTTTTTATTAGCCAATACTAGTTTCACAACTTGTCACTGCTTTGTTTTTTCTATGAATGTGTGTGTACATGGTTGTGTGTCAGTATGTTTGTGCATGTTCTGTACTTTGTACTTAATCTGCTGCCATTAAGTCTCATGTGGGCTGGAAATGAAGAACATAATCAAAACCACCCAAAGAAAAAGCATGTTTTATTTTTATATATTCAATCCTATAAAATCGCCATTAAAAAGATATCAAGCCTGAGGCCTTACCCTGTTCGTTTGGTGATGGTCCCCAATGTCATTGGCTGCTTGATTTGTGCAAGAGGCATCAACACCATCAAGCTGGGGAGAGGAGAGAGCCGAGGGTTGCCAGGGTTGTTGTTGGCAAAATTATTGTAGGAGTCTTGGCTGTTTAGTTTCCCTACAAAGAGAAAAATAAAGAAAAGCATCACGAAGGGAAGTTTCCTTCTCTGGCAGGGTTTTCACTGACTCCACTAACCATTTAAGAAAGTTACCAAAGACAGAACTGATTATAAAAGAATCATGGTTATGTGGAGGGGGGAAAAAACATAAAAGATACTAGTAACATCGAGTGTGACTCAATTATAAACAGAAACTTTAGTCTTTGGAGATGGAAGAATGGAGGATACAGAATTGGATAGAGGTTAAACGGTTATACAAATAATTAGTGTCAAATTTAATTATAATTTTATGGTGTTATAAAGAAATATAGGATTTTAAGAGAAAATAAAAGGAGAAGATCTAAATGAGTCTAGAGGAACCATGGAGCATTTCCCTAAACAAGCTTGAGAGTAAGTAGGGAGAATATTCCAGTCATGGCAGCCTGTGAAGGCTTGGCGGGGGGTGGGAGGGGGTGGGTGGTCACAAGAAATGTGAGTCATAAGGATGAGTATCCATAGAGAATAGCATGAGAGACACAGGATGAGATCAAAGTCATAGGCAAAAATATCGCCTTCCTCCCAATATCTACCACTCCCAACCATAAAATTAAAAAACACAAATCAACACATTTCCCTTTCGTTTATGCTGGGCATTAATAACAAAAATAAAAAGAATATCTACGGACAGCTAATCTTTGACTAAGGAGCTGAGAACATACAATGGAGAAAGGAAAGTCTCTTCAACAAATGGTGTTGGGAAAACTGGATAGCCACATGTAAAAGAATGAAAGTAAACCATTCTCTTATGCGATCTACAAAAACAAACTCAAAATGGATCAAAGACTTAATGGTAAGACCTGAAACCATAAGACTTCTAAAAGAAAATATATAGGCAGTACACTCTTTGACACCAGTCTTAAAAGGATCTTTTCGGACACCATGTCTTCTCAGACAAGGGAAACAATAGAAAGAATAAACAAGTGGGACTTCATCAGACTAAAGAGCTTCTACAAGGCAAGGGAAAACAGGATTGAAACAAAAAGACAAGTCACCAATCGGGAAAAAAATATTTGCAAATCATATATCTGACAAAGGGTTAATCTCCACAATATATAAAGAACTCACAGAACTCAACAACAAAAAATCAAACCACCTGATCAAAAAATGTGCAGGGGAGATGAACAGACATTTCCCCAAAGAAGATATACAGATGGCCAATAGGCACATGAAAAGATGCTCATCATCACTGATCAGCAGGAAACTGCAAATCAAAACTACACTAAGATATCACCTTACACCATTAGAAAGGCTATAATAACCAAGACAAAAAATAAAAAATGTTGGACAGGTTGTGGAAAAAAGGAAGATTTCTCAAAAAAGGAGATTTCTCAAAAAATTAAAAATAGAAATACTATATGACCCAGCCATCCTACTACTGGGTATCTATCCAAAGAACTCAAAATCAGCAATTCAAAGAGACTTATGCACCTCTATGTTCACTGAAGCATTATTCACAATAGCCAAGACGTGGAAGTAACCTAAGTGCCCATCGACTGATGACTGGATAAAGAAGATATGGTGTGTGTATATATATACAATGGAATACTACTCAGCCACAAAAAATGACAAAATTGTCCCATTCACAACAACATGGATGGACCTTGAGGGTATTATGTTAAGTGAAATAAGCCAGATAGAGAAAGACAAACTCTGTATGATTCCACACATATGTGGAAGATAAACAAACACATGGACAAAGAGAACGGATTAGTGGTTCCTAGGAGTAGGGGGGTGGGGGGTGGGCACAAAGGGTGAAGGGGCTCACCTATAAGATGACTGACAAATAATAGTGTACAACTGAAATTTCACAATGTTGTAAACTATCATAACCTCAATTAAAAAAATAAAAAGAATTGTCATTATGACTCACTAATAGCCAGGGGGAAAGAAAACCTCTGTGAAATAAAATCTGATCTGCAGAGAAAGAAATTACTCTCAGCTCAACAGTAAGCCAAACTCCTCTTACGCACTTACCTATTCTCCCTCTCCAAGGTTTTGCATTTTCCAGAATGTCCTATATGTGGAATCACAAAATATGTAGCTTATTGGGTCTAGTTTCTTCCACCTGCCAATAAGCATCTGAGATTCATCCACTCTACATTTTCCCGCATGTATCAAAAGCTCTTTTCTTTTTGGTTCCTGAATATGATCCCATTGTATGCAGTTACTTCAATTTGTTTATCCAGTTTTGGTAAGAGGACATTTCATTCCTTTCCAGCTTTTGGTTATTAGAAACAAAGTTGCTATAAACATTTGTGTACAGGTTTTTGTATGAATGTAAGGGGGGCTTTTTGGATAAATAATCTAGGAATGGAATTGCTGGTCATAGTAAATGAATGTTTGCATGGACATAATAATCGTATATTTAAGGTTATGAGAAAATGTCAAACAGTTTGACAAAGTAGCTGAACCATTTCACATTCCCACAAGCAAAGTACGACAGTTTTAGTTCTTCCGCATCCTCACCAGAATTTGGTGTTGTCACTCTTTTTTGATTTTAGCTATTCCGGCTTTGATTTGGATTTCTCTAACGACCAATAATGTTTAGCTTTTTTTATTGTTCATGTACTTGTCACCCATATTTCTTCTTTGGTAAAGTGTTTGTTCAAATCTTTTGTCCATTTTAAAAGTTGGGTTAATCTTTTTACTGAGATATAATTCGTCTACTGTGAAACTCGCCCTTTGAAAGTGTACAGTTCTGCGGTGTTTAGGGTATTCTACGGAGTAGTACCATCATAATCACTATCTAATTTCAGAACATTTCCATTACCTAAAAAGAAAGCCTATACCCATTAGCAGTCACTCTTCCTTTGCTTGACCCCTCAGCTTTTGACAACCAGGAATCTCCTTTCTGTTTTTATGGATTTGCCTATTCTAGATATTTCATATAAATGGAATCATACAATATGGCCTTTTGTGACTGCTTCTTTCACTTAGAATGTTTTCAAGGTTCATCCACATTGTGCCATGTATCAATAGTTTATTCCTTTTTATAGCCAAATAATATTCCATTGTATGAATATAACACATTTTACTTATCCATCAGTTGTAAATATTTGGGTTGTTTCCACTTTCAGACTATTATGAACAATGCTTCTATGAACATTAGTGCACAGGCTTTCACGTGGACATGTGTTTTCAACTTTCTTGGGTATATACACCTAGGAGTAGAGTTGTTGGGTCTATATTTAACCTTTTGAGGAACTGCCAAACTATGGCTGCACCAATGGATGAGGGCTCTAACTTACCCACATCCTCAACAACACTTGTTATTGTCTTTTTTATTTTAGCTGTCCTAATGCGTGTGAAGTGGTATTTCATTGTAGTTTTGATTTGCATTTCCCTAAAAACTAATGATGTCAAACATCTTTTTCATGTACATTTTAGTAATTTGTATACCTTCTTTGGAGAAATATCTACCCAAAACCTTTGCCCATTTAAAAATTGGGTTGTCTTTTTATTGTTCAGTCCTAAGAGTTAATTATATTCTCTGGATAAAAGTCCCTTATCAGGGGTTGGCCCCGTGGCCGAGTGGTTAAGTTCCCGTGCTCCACTGCAGGCGGCCCAGTGTTTTGTTGGTTCGAATCCTGGGCGCGGACATGGCACTGCTCATCAAACCACGCTGAGGCAGCGTCCCACATGCCGCAACTAGAAGGACCCACAACCAAGAATACACAACTATGTACTGGGGGGCTTTGGGGAGAAAAAGGAAAAAAAATAAAATCTTAAAAAGAAAAACAAAGTCCCTTATCAAATACATGATTTGCAAATATTTTCTCCAATTCCATGTGCTGTCTTTTCACTTTCTTCACAGTGTGCTTTGAAGCATAAAAGTTTTTCATTTTGATGAAGTCTAATTTATCGATTTTTTTCATTAGTTGTTTGTGCTTTTATTGTCATATCTGAGAAACCACTGCCTAATCCAAGGACACAAAGATTTATGTCTATGCTTCTTCCTAAGAGTTTTATATTTTAGCTCTGACATTTAGGTCTCTGATCCATTTTTAATTAATTGTTATAAATGATGTAAAGCAGAGGTTCAACTTCATTCTTTTGAACGTTGGATATCCACTTGTTTCAGCACCATTTGTTGAAAAGACTATTCTTTCCTACCTCAATGGATTGTCCTGGCACCCTTGCTGAAAATCAAACGACTACAAATGTAAGGATTTATGGATCTTATTCTCAAATTTTAAACGTTCCTTATATAATCTAGATATAAGTCTTTTGTAAGATGTACAATTTTCTAATACTTTTTAACACACCGTGACTTGTCTTTTCATTCTCTTACAGATCTTTTAACAAGCAAAGATCGTTTTTCATAAAGCCCATGTTTGTTTTGTACATTTGGTGTTGAATTGTTAAACTACTGATGAACTACTTGCCTAACCTGAGGTCACAAAAATTCAATCTAAAAGTTTTTCAGTTTTATATCTTACATTTATATATGTGATTTATATGATATGATATAATTGAGTTAATTTTCTGTAAGTTATGAAATGTGACTTTAAAAAAATATAATAATGAAATGAAAGGAAACAAATGACAGCAAATGAAACAAAAATCCCTAAAGTTTAGCTGAAGTTTACCACAACCGGACAAATACGAGTTTAGAATTTTTTTCAGTTTGTTTTTTTAAGCAGTCCCCTCAAAAAATTACCTATAATGTCTATTACTCCAGTACTGTGATACTTAAAGCAAGAGGCAAGGTCAGATCTATGATCTCTTTCATTTTTTCCATTTAACTAATATCCTGGCCTAATGACAAATTTTAAGCTAAATTTTGTTGAGCTGAAGTTTTATGCCAATTCCTAATGATTTCTTAATGTAAACAGAAATCACATACAGTCAGTGAAAAGAAACAGACCAGAATATTAGAAGGGAACATATTATATCCTGGAGCAGAAGCACCCACTTGGACATTTATTATTTCTATATTTTTGGTGTCACTATCTTGCAG